AGTAGCGATGCACTTGTTCCTAGTAGCTTCTTGTTACTACTAGTAAGTTGGGTAGCCCTTGGTATGCTTAGGCATACGGGCTTAACAGGTGTTTAGAGGTAGGGGTTTAGTCAGGGTAGTCGCGGGCATCCAGCAGATCAGAAGGTGGGCTAAACAGCCATGAAAATCAACCCAAGATGGGTTTCAATGACCTGTCGAAAGGCTCAGAAGCGGGGTTTAGCCACGCAAACTTCCAGCCAAGCAAGGGTTTACAATTCCCTTTTTTGATCCGAATAATGGGCTGTGGCCACCTTGTCAACAGCACAGGCCTGAAAAAACAACTGAAATCAAGAAATGACCAAAACTGCGCCAAACTGAATAGGTGGTAGGGAATAGGCCTGGGACTCAAGAAAGACCCTGTGAAGTCATGGTTAGAACAAAGCGAAATACGTCAGGAACATTGTTGAAACAAAGTAGGTCGGGAATGGGTCGGAAATAGGTCGGGGCCCCAAGAAAGACCCTGCGAAGTCATGGTTGGAACAAAGCCGGAATAGGTCGGGGATAGGTCGGAAATAGGTCGGAATAGGTCGGGGCCCGAAGAAAGACCCTGTGAAGTCATGCATGGAACACAGCAGGATTAGGTCGGGAATGGGTCGGAAATAGGTCGGAATAGGTCGGGGCCCTAAGACCCTGCGAAGTCATGGTTGGAACAGGCAGGAATAGGTCGGGAATAGGTCGGAAATTGATCGGGAACACAACTACAGCGGGATATCAGCATACTGGCCAGAGCTAATGACAATTAACATCATCACGGTATGCTTAGGACCAATGTAGTATAGGGTTCCCGACCTATTCCGACCTATTCCCGACCTATTTCTGCTTTGTTCCAACCATGACTTCACATGCTACTTCCCTGAGGAGCAAAATGCATCCTGTCAGCGTCAGCCCAGGCACAATGCTGTGTTCCGACCAACGCATCGTTTCAACCACACGGAATGTCAGCACGACATCAATGCTTTACGAACAACAAATTAATAAGGCGGTGCATCTTGGAGCCCACGAACCCCACTCAACAAGCTTGACTTCACATGATCAAACCTGCTGATGCGATAAAAGGCTTGGTTGCCCCGCGCGCGCAAAAGATTTTTTTGATTCATTTATCCCACCCGTGGCAATCAAAAGATCGCCCCTTTGAGCTAGCAATTGTGTATGTTTGCGCCGCCCGACCCTAGTGAAGCATCAATCTATATAGAAGCAACACAATCACTTCAGCGAGCCGCTTTTGACACAAGTGACCCCCGTATCACGCAAACATTTTGTGCGTTTAGCCCCTGCAAAACATCGGCTCCAGCAAGTGACAATACACACATGTGACCTGGCATTGATGTGTTTTTATGCTGCCTGACCCTGGCGAAGTGCAATCTCGGAACCAACAAATCCCATTCAGCAAGCCTAATTACAGTCAAATATCTCCAACTTCCTTGCGACGCACCCTGCAACACCCTAGCGGGCCAACTGCGTAAGCATACCCGAAGTAGCTAAGGCTATTTTCGGCTATACAGTGCCTAAGCATACCAAGGGTTACCCAACTAGTAAGGCACTTGTTACTAGTAGCGATGCACTTGTTCCTAGTAGCTTCTTGTTCTGAAGAAAGAAAAACACCTACTTTAGGAGTGTACCTCAACCGAGCCTCAAACTTTCAACGAAATTGTCCGAGACACAGCAGTTGGTAAGCAAAACTGGATGTCAAATTTGGGGTTCCGCACCCTCATCATCGCCAGCTTTCGGCCTGTCCGGTTTGTGTCAAAACAAGAATGGCTTGCGTTGGAAGTCTTCCCGTCCTCAGCTACTGCGCAGCCTTTGTGCGCAAAAGGCTGCGAGCTTGAGCCGAATCAAAGCCAAGGCGAGGAAAGTATGTGCATGCGCTGCATGTACATGCTAGCTAGCTCAGTCAATCTAAGGAATATTCTGGGTTTCCCTTCACGTCTTAGAACATCACCTCCGGCATTTAGTGGACGGTTATATAACTGTCCACGGTTTAGCTGATCTGATCAAGGTCGCATCTTGAAGCACAGATTTACAGATTCGACAAATGCACATGAAGCACATCTTGAAGATTGCCAAGCAATAGCTCAGCATGTTCCCTAGGTTCAAGGAATTTAGATATTCGCTTCAATGAAAACCGTCTCTTTTGACTGCGGCTTCAGCAATCAAGGGTTTGCATCAGCTCCCAGGTGGAGAGATGAGCTGAAAAGTCTGCCCATTCCAGCTTTTGAAGCTTGATGAAGGCTCTCATGAAGTCCTCAGAAACCAAGAAAAGTGAAGAAAACCGTTCGCATGTTTAAACATGTTTAAACTCATTGTGTCGGTTTCTCTTCTGTGTTTGAAGTCAAGGGCCTCCTGATGGAGGTTTCCGGTACGGAGGTGCACGTCATTTGTGTTTCTTCGAGGATAGCTTCTCGAAGACATTTGCGGATGTTTCTGTTGTTTGTTTCACTTTTGGACTTATCCATGTCCCATGGCAAGCCGATGAAGGTGTGGCCTTACACTGAAGTGACTGAGTAGCATCTCCATGCAGAAGTTTGCCATCCCAAAGCATCATCCAAGAGCTTCAAAGTTTTGGTGCCAAAAGAGAATCCATGCTGAGATGTCTTGTTTTGGAGGATGGAGGCCATCGCTAGTAGGTTCTTTGCAGTCGTTTGGTCTTTCGCAGTCTTTCGAGCTCTTGGCCGTATTCGGTTCAGATGGTTGCTCAGACAGCGTTTGATGCGTTTGACACACTGAGCTGTTTGCAGTTTTATCACTGTTAATCATTCTGATTTTGATTCGATGTTTTTCATCTTTCTTTTCTTTCTGCCAAGCATCTGCACCTAGCAGAGCTGATAAGTCTTTGTCACTTTCCAATGCTCGCGTGGCATCGATAAGGTTCCTGCACCAAACAAACAGAGTCAAGCCGATAGAACACCCCGTCCAGCCGTCCGGTGAGATGGAGCATATTGCGGCATTGTCTTGGGTTGGAGGCCATCACTCTTAGGTTGGAGGCCATTCCTAGTAGTTTGGAGGCCATTTAGTGATATTGGCAATCCATGTGGACAACATATCACGACAAATGTTCTGCTGTTGCCCGCGTTGCCTCGGCAACGAGGCAATACCTTCCAACTTGGGCGAGCCATCAGGAATCTCCTAGGGGAAGATAAATGTATCAAAGTCACCCACAATAAAGTAGAAAGGACAACACATGTGCTCTGCTTTGCATGTTAGTGTGTTTTTGAACCCAATAGAAGCTTGGGTCAGAGGCTGTGAACCAATCTCATCTAAACCAACAAGTGGGGATGTGTCACCATAAGCGTTGAGAGATTTGTCTCAGAAAGTCAAGGTGCAGGGCATTAAGTTTGCGACCAAGAGTAATATGGGAATACAAAGCATCAAGTATGCCGTGCATGAGAAAAATGCTCAGGAATGATTTCTTCGTGCAAGAATTAGATCTTATCAAACTTGTTACTAGCAGTAATGCCCTTGTTACTAGTAGCTTCTTGTTACTAGTAGGGATGCACTTGTTACTAGTAGCGATGCACCTTGTTGCTAGAGACGAAGTGTAACTGCAAGGCGTCTGCACAACCCAACCCAGCAAAGCGTCGTACATATTCACATCGGCGGGGAATGAGCACTTTGCTGGATCAGCCTTCGTATCAATCCCCCAAAATCCACAGGCCATCATCAAGGCAGGCAACAAATATGGGTTCACCTTGGCGCAATCGAAAATGCTCAACACCTCGAACAAGAGACCGACTAATTGTAAGACTCTGAACAGACCGACGAATACGATGAGAGGTTTTGAGATACTTCGAGGTCTTTTGGTCACAAGGCCCGGCTTGCCCCTTTGGTCTGTGGTCCTTGCAGAAACCTTTTTCCGACAGGTAGAGTAATAGGTAGTCACAACCGGTAGACTGAATTCGCCTGAATTAGCCTGGTAGCTTGCCAGCCATAAAATGTTGAGATCTTGGAGTACACTCTTGAGTAATGTGTGGCAGTTTGCTTTTCGTGGACCATGTGGACCCCAAGTAGTTCCAGGACCTCAACCACATTGCGAAACTGGGAGACACAACCACAGTGGACAGTACATGACCAGAGTGAGTCTCCAGGCTTCCAGAGATTGAGCAGAGCAAAGCTTGATGATGCCAATGTGCTTCGGAAGGACTGGTTTAGTTTAGGTACAGCGGAAACTGCCAAGATCTGCTAAGGATAGCTCATGGTTCTCAACGGAAAACCTTGGCTGAATGGTACTCTGCTTGTGAGCTTAGCATGTTGTTGTGTGGTAGGAGCCCCTAGTAGCATCCTTGCTCCTAGTAGTAAGGCCAGGAGCCCCTGGAAAGGCGGGGAGATCACTTGCGCATCGGAGGATCACTTACGCATCGAAAAAGTGGATCACTTGCGCATTGATGGCAATAATGGTAAGGTCTAATGGAATGATTGACCCATGTCCACATCATCACATCCGACATTCGTGCACAACCGACACACACAGAGTTCGCCCACCAAGTGGGACAGCCTGTTTGTCCAAATAGCTTTAAACTTGTGTTTAGTACAGGCCTCTGTTTCAAGGAACATCTTTGAACAGCTAAGTTTCCCAAAAAGAATCTAGGAGTCAAGTCATTAATGCTCGGGCGGAGTTTGGTAGCTTACTCCTTAGTGGCCGCACATTGCATGTTGCGCTCAACGAAAAACCGATCCAAAACCCGACGCACAAGCGAACCCCCGCCCTAGTAGCGTCCTTGTTCCTAGTAGCGATGTCAGGAGCCCCTAGGCAACTTGCTGGCCAAAAGTGAAAGGAAGGAAGAAAGCAAGGAGCGCTAGAAAGCTTTACGGTTACTAGTAATTAGCGATGGCCTCCAACCTAATAGCGACGGCCTCCACCTAGTAGCTTCTAGGTAATTACTATAGAAGGAAGAAAGCAAGATCAAGAAGTTTGCATCCTTTTCCCTTTGTGCTCAAGGGGGCCACGCTGTTCGAAGGCTTGTGGCAATGGCCAGACGCAAGCTGCAAGACCGCGGTACGATTTGATGCAGTGCGCTTCCCGTTTGTACAGCTGGGGTGGCGTTGAGCTTGCTCGTAAGATGGGGAACCCATCAAAGCCTAGGAGCAAGGACGCTACTAGGAACCCACTCTTTGGCAGTCTGCATGGGCCTATGGGTCAAACGGGTCAAAGTCCAAGAACCTGCGATAAGGCTTTGATGGGTTCCTAGTAGCATCCTTGTTCCTAGTAGCGATGCCAGGAGCCCCTAGTAGCGTCCTTGCTCCTAGTAGTAAGGCCAGGAGCCCCTAGTAGCTTCTTGTTCCTAGGCTTTGATGGGTTCCTTGGCTTTTCAGGGCTTGGCTGTTCAACCAGCAGGCACATACCTCCATGCCACATGCCAGTCAAACTCGTAATTCCTTGGGCGGTTAGGCGACCCACTCCGCTGGTCGACGTGCTAATCTTTCCTTCCCCCTTTCCTTCATCCTTGCTTAGAAGTTCTAGAAGCTACAGGTGGAGGCCGTCGCTATTAGGTTGGAGGTCATCGCGACTAGAAACAATAAAGCTTTCTAGTACTCCTTGCTTTCTTGCTTTCTTCCTTGCCTTTCTTTGTGAGCAGTTTCGAGACCTTCTGAGGTGAAAAAAACCTGTAACAACTTGGCCACCCACCGCTCCATCCGCCAATCGGAGCTCAAAACGATCATTGTCCGGAACCCGGACCATGTGACTGCCAGTCGTATCAAAAACGCCAAAGATCGCTAGCAAAGCTTATATGATGCTAAATATGTGCCACTTCCAGGAAACATTTCTGAACTGCCTTTGCTTCTTCCTCATTGGTTGCTTTCTGCTTTGCTTCCCAAAAACATCAAGTTTGCTCTGCTTTGTCGCGCCTCCGATTGTTGCCGCTCCACGACACACCTGTAGACATTCTGACAACTCAAATGGCTCAAACGGCCTCCAACCTAATAGCAATGGCCTCCAATTCCAACTTAATAGCGATGACTCAAATGACCTCACATGGCCTTCCTAGTCTTTGCCTGAAGATTGGAAGGGACTGCTAAGCGAAAAGTGCTTTCAGTGATCTGATAGTCTGTGGACTGAGTTCAATTAAGGTGTCTGATCGCTTAGAACTTGTGACAAACGGCATGTTCCTGCACAATTGAACTCTAGCATGTGATTCGCAGTAGCATCCCCTTTCTATTGCTTAATTTTAATTCATGAGGTGCTTAATTTGGATTGTCAAGTGTCGGTTCGGAGACCAGGTGTAACCAGAAGCGGTGGCGGCACCATTTAGCCTGAACAAGATGTGACAACATTGCAGTAAGAAAGTCGTCCAGTGTGATGCTATGTCATATGTCTATCTCTCTCTCTCTCTCTCTATCTACTCATTGGTGCCACGGGGCCGCTTGTAGGAGTTCACCGTTGGGTTAGTAACCGCACAGAAGCTTGGAGCTTTCGCCAGGACTCCGCCCAAGAACTGCAAAGCCAAGTCCGAAATGCTCTCCTTGCCCTCGCAGAGGGTTTCACTCCATTCATTGGCAAAACATGTCAAGAAAGACTTCCAATAGGGAAACAAATGATGACAGAATAAATACGACAGCCTCATGATTGTGAACCAATAGATGGATGTTGGCAAGACGGTTCCATGCTTGGTTTTCAGGGCCATTCCAAGTCATTGATTCCTTGATCGGTCCTCGAAGACATTCTTCTCCCCCGACCAGAGGGAGCAATGGATGTGGCCTTAGAATCAGATCGCACGGACGCTCTGCGTTCAGATCTTGGTCGCAGTTGATGTAGTAGCGTCCTTGTTTCTAGTAGCTTCTTGTTGCTACTAGTAAGGCACTTGTTACTAGAAGCGATGCACTTGTTTCTAGTAGCTTCTTGTTACTAGTAGTAAGGCACTTGTTACTAGTAAGATGCTCTGTAGTCAGTCAGGTTCATCTTGGTCATGCGATGTTCGCGCAACTAGGTGCCACACATCCATTCCCACTGAGATTGCTGAAGGGTCTGGGCATGAAGGTTGCCTCTGTTGCCGGAGACATCCGAAAAGCATTCAGAGGATACCTTTTGCTTGATATCCTTCTTTTCTTGTTCTACTAGGAGCGATGTTCGCTACCAGGAACAAGTGCATCGCTTCTAGTAACAAGTGCCGTAATACTAGGAGCAATGTTCGCTACTAGGAACAAGTGCATCGCTTCTAGTAACAAGTGCCTTAATACTAGGAGCAATGTTCGCTACTAGGAACAAGTGCATCGCTTCTGGTAACAAGTGCCTTACTACTAGGAGCAATGTTCGCTACTAGGAACAAGTGCATCTGTTCTTCCTTTCCTTGTTAATTATTGTTTCTACTAGCTTCTTGTTACTAGTAGCGATGCACATGTTGCTACTAGCGATGCACTTGTTACTACTAGTAAGGCACTTGTTACTAGTAGCGATGCACCTGTTACTACTAGCGATGCACCTGTTACTACTAGCGATGCACCTCTTACTACTAGCGATGCACCTGTTACTACTAGCGATGCACCTGTTACTACCTCCAAAACCACAGACCAAAGTATTCCTTTTACAAAATGAGCCTTGCACTCACCGCCATGTTCTCTACGCGATGCAGTGAGATTCCTGCATAATCTCTACGCAATCTGTTTTACACTCTGGAATCCTCAAAACCAACGAAAGAAGACCCTGAGCCAACTGAGCTACAGGTATCCCAAGTACCCCAGGTATCCTTAGGCTTGCCTTTTGCAATTGGTGGAATTCAAATGAGGATACAGGTGCTTGAAACTCTGAAGAAAACAACTTCACGGGCGCAAAGTTGACAAAACAACTATTTGAGGCCAAGGCACACGGAAGCCGTGGCGCTCAGCCAAGGTCTTGACTGCCCATTTGAAGAAGACGTGTTGATCTGCGGTTGTAAGACAATCCTACGCAAGAAGCAGTTGGGGTTCATTCGCGGAAGGCACAAAAAACATTTTAGAACATATAGTAAGCAAACCATGGTAGATCAGTCGGTCCCGGTAGTGCCAGTTGATCTCAAATTGACCGTTGGCATCTTCATGATCTGTTTGATACACCCCGAAGTCGCAGGCATTCAAGGTCTTCACCTCAGGCCAAAGCGAAGTGAAGATGAATCTGGAGATGATGAGAGGATTTTGCTATTAGGTTGGAGGCCATCGCTCTTAGGGTGGAGGCCACCTTAAAGTATTTTTTCTATAAGGGTATGTGAGTCAATATTATGTTTATATTCTTTTCAGTTGAAGGCAATCGATGTGAGAGGATTTCTCCGAGGAGCGATGTCTGCTAACAGTGCGTATCTTCGCATCATCGATTGAGCATCATCTCGGCGAAAACGAGACATACAATTCCATGTTGCTCAAACCTGTGGCCATGGAGCCAAGGTGCAACACGGCTTGCTTTGGATGTCCCGCTCATCAGAAATGCTATCATTCTGCGCAGATAGAATGAAGAATTCTGCCTGCAGGATGCAAGACTCGACTTAAATCTCTATATACTTAAACTTTCTTCAGGTTGGCTCAGCTTGACACTGCAAGAACACTGCGGCTTAATCATCCAACTACTGGAAAGAAAAAAGGAACGAATTGTTGAGCAAAACAGGTCCTTGTTTTTGCATCTTGCGATATTGTGTTCACATCTTTTCACATCTTTCTCGCCTCCACGCCGGACTTCAACACGTAACCGCGCTTCTGGGCTTCTGCGATCTGGGCCTTCAACACTGCACGCGGTGACTGTGCTACTTCTTTTCCTGGCACGGAATGCGCGGACTTAAACAAATGAAATAGAAAGCACATGTGTGTATGCGTTTCTGTTGTTTGTTATTTGTGTCTTCTGACCTTTAGATCATGTGATGTCAACTGCAGAATTGATGTTTGTCTCTGGATGTTGCAGTTTTGGTGATTGATCGGCCCATCTGGAAGCCTTCGATGAAACAATCGCCCATAACCACTGCCAGCTCCGGACTGAAAGGTACCTTCGAAGCTATGGAGTGCAAAACTTTGAACAAAGCTGCAAAACCTGTTCGTTTCCAGAAGGCTACAGGTCTAGAATGGTCTACACTTCAAGTATCTTCAAGTACTTGCAAACGCCAACAGGGACCTGGAGCAAAGTACTGGCGTCGGGCATCACCAGAAGGTCTGCCGCATGCGGCCCGAAATCCAGCCATGTCGCTGCTGGTGCGAATCCTGCTCCTCACGCGACTCCCGGGGCCGTATTGCGGGGCCTCCAACCTAATAGCAACAGGGTCTAGATAGAGTCTAGTAGTTGAGTGAATCTCCTGGGCTGTAGCGAATTGCAAACACAGATTCGAACTGTCAATGAACACAACACCCTTGCAAAAGATCAAAAGGCACAAAAGGGTGTTTCTTGAAGACTCGAACTCAAGACCTTTTCTTGCCGGCAGACCATTCTGAACAATTTCAGCACCCCGGTCCATCACGTTGAATCTGTTTGATGGCACTGCTGGGGACCATCTTTGTCCGCAAGACACCTACGGACTTGAATCGTGAAAAGCAAATGTTGGCTTCGTCAATTAGAGCTGCTCCATACCAAATCCCAGTAGCCTCAAGTTGAAACTTAGACCTATCAAATAGAATCCTGAGCTTCTCTGTTGGCAGCCATTTGTTTCCTCTCATATCTCGACACATGCCTCTGATTCTATGACCTGTCACATCCTGTATCTCAATACTTTGTATCTCTATACGCCGCACGCCGCTCCGCACCCCGCAGGTCGACAAATGCCACCAGGAAGAAGTCAATGCCACGCGCCTTGCGGAAATGACGAAAAGGCGTCAAAATGTGCTTTTTTTGACAACAAGAAGCTACTAACGGAGCAAAGGGCATCGCTACTAGGAAGCCAGGACGCTACTAGGGGCTCCTGGCCGTACTACTAGGAGCAAGAAGCTACTAGGAGCAAAATGCAGAAACATCTGACAACCAGAAACAGCACGTCAATTCAGCCCCAGATTAAAGATTCCACACTGAGACTACCCCACCCGCCTTTGCTACTGCAGACAGATCGGCATTAGCGGCGAGCTTCTCCTTGGATCACATATTCAGAAATACTTCCTCCATGGAGTCAGCTGGTTTGACATATGGACATGAACAAACAGTAAATCGAATGAATTTGGTGGGTGTAACACCCAAGAGCAACATTAAGCAAGCAAGAAAGGCTAAGATCATCCTGCCCTGAAGAAGATGCTTCGGCCAAGTTGCTCCTTGGCAAAAGCCAGCCTTTGTAAAGCATTGCATAACTGCTTTGCACCCCTTGACAACTCCTTGATCCTTCCTTTATCCATGACATGTTCCACAAAAGCTCGGCTCTGCATCCGGAAAACTAGTGCAAAGAGTTCAAGTGATCCAACGGATTCTTTGTTGCACGTGAGAGACGAGGAGTCGAGCAGCCACTTTTTTGGAGCTTAGCGTCAGAGGAGATCATCTTTCACCGCGTAATTGACCAAAAGCACGGGTCGATTTGGCAAGTTCGGTTCTTGTGAAGAGCTAAAGGGCCAAGTGTGTCTGGTCTCCGACTTTCTATTCAATTCTGTGGAACCAACTCTTGCCCATTGGCCCTTTCAAATGCAAATGGGCATGGTGCACTGAACCCCGAATGTGCACAAGCTACACCAGCTTCATTAAGTTTGGCAATTCAATGCTGTAGTGAAAACATCTTGGGAACTGAAAGTCCCATGCACAACACCAAGCTCAGTCCACTCAGCGAAAATGGACGGAAAGGTCTATCCATGGGAAACTGTTCTCCTTTTCCCAAGAATACCTTTCGGTGAAAATGCCAGGTCATCGCCTGGAGATAGGGTGAAAACCCCAGGTATTGAGCGTTGCAGTGTTGCCGGGATTGCCTTGCAATATCGGTTGCCTTGCAATATTGTTGCCTTGCAGAACCTCCGCGGCCTACCCCCCCTGTCTTCCCTCTTACTAGTAGCTTCTTGTTACTAGTAGTAAGGCCAGGAGCCCCTACGGCCAGGAGCCCCTACTAGCGTCCTTGAAAGAAATCCGAGCTATTGCGACAGCTTCGAATTACATCAAGTTGTGGAGCGGGCGAAGCCCAGATTGCACAAAGGGCTTACGTGGCAACGGCAACTGATGTGGGCACAAATGCCCTAGACTGGATTGGGATGGAGAAACAAGCACTTCAGCAAAAACCTTACGAGCGAATGCAAAATCCCTCCTGTTTGATTCATCTTGATCAATGATTCCAAATTCTTTGGACCTTCGCTCTCCATCTTTTCAAATGGTGCAGCTTCAGGCGACACGATCCGTTGGCAATTCAACAAATTGACAACTTTGTTTGTCAAAAAGTGGCAAGTTTTGGCAACTTTGGGATCTGCATCCATTTCACCGTGCCTGAAGCTGATCAAGAGTCGCGGGAAACATCGCATCCATTCCATTGGTGGAAATCATGGATGAGATTAGAACAACTCCTACGTGACATACAGTTCCTCTTTGGCGAAGGCAACCCTCTCAATGTGCCGCAAGTATTCCTTTCAGAATGTAAACACATCCAGCACCAGTGAAGAAGTGTTGCGGTTGTTGCTGTTGTGGTTAAAGGTTAAAAGATCTTCAATTAACGCCGTTGAAACTCAATCTCTTTGGATTGCTTCGCATCACAATTTGCAGCTGCCCGTCGTGGAAACCAAGCTAGCTGACGCGGATTCTTTGTCTCGCTCGATGCCGGGATCGGAACTGTCAGATCCATTCTCCGAACAGTCCACGCAATCCCAGAGCAACGTCGATCATGCTAAAAATGCTGTATGCTTTATTGATGCAAATGCCAAGTCTTAGGGAAATTTCCAAAAATCATCCAAGGCCGATGTCAAGCCCGTTGGAGGCCATCGCTCTTAGGGTGGAGGCCAGCGCTATTAGGTTTCTTAACGTCTTTTTCTTAAAGTCTAAAAGGAAAAATACTCTATATAGATATCTCTAGATTCTATGGCATTCCATGGCCGATGTCAAGCCCACTTTGGGAAGCCCATTCGTGACATTTGCTTGCAGTCACCCGTCGAGTGAACCAAGCTAACTGCGGGGAAGAATTGGGTTTGCAGCTGCCCGTCGCGCAAACCAAGCTCGCTACAAACACGTCGACCGTCCAAAGTCCAAAGTCTTCAATGTACCTTGGAGGCCTCACAGCTGCCCGTCGTTGCAACCAAGCTAGCTGATACTGGGAGAGATTCAAAGATTGGGGCGGATGCTCAAAAGGCAGAGTTGTTGTACTCATTGTTATTTGACATGAAGGTAAATCTTTGCAACAGTGTGTCACACTTTGCCACTCCGCCTTTTGTTCACCCTGTTTCTCCAGCCGCCCGTCGCGGGAACCAAGCTAGCTGGGCTGGAGGGTGTCATCGCTCCTGTGCGAATGAGTTGCGAACTCGTACAACGCACAACATTACTAGCAGCAGGAAGCTAGTCGTAACAAGTGCATCACTATTTATATAAGAACAGGTGCATCGCTACTAGTAGCTAGAAGCTAGTAGAAACAAGAATTAGAATTAAGTTAAATTAACTACTAGCTTCTTGTTACTACTAGTAAGGCACTTGTTACTAGAAGCGATGCACTTGTTACTAGTAGCTTCTTGTTACTAGTGCAATGCATTGCGACTAGCAACGTGCGACCCGGATACCCAGAGCCCGAAATTCGACTGCATTGCTGTAGGCCTCCCACACCACGACGCCTCCAGCTGGGGCCCTCCTTCTCAACGGCGCCAAACTGTAGCCTCCGGGACCTCACGGCCAAAAAACAAAGGTGATGGTGTAAACCCAACCCAATAGCAAACTATATTAAACCTTTCTTCCTGTTCTCTTTTCTTTGCTTCCAAAAAAACGATGGCCTCCAACCTAAGGGCGATGGTCTCCAACCTACTAGCGATGGCCTCCAACCTGCTAGCGATGGCCTCCAACCTACTAGCAATGGTCTCCAACATACGAGTGATGGCCTCCAACAACCTACTACTAGTAGCGATGGCCTCCAACCCAATAGCGATGGCCTCCAACCTTCTAGCGATGGCCTCCAACCTTCTAGCGATGGCCTCCAACCTAGCCGAAAGGGTGGTGATTCTGCACCCTTGTTGCAAATGCGCAAACTGATAGGCCAACATGCAACACCCCCGATAGAGCTGTTCAACAGAACTGGTATGAAGATGTATGACTTGAAAGCATATGATAAGCAGTTTCAACATTATATATCTTCACACGTGAAGGGTCGGTGAGTGCCTCGAAAAAGAAGGAGGACAAAAAGCCAACACACGCTTCACTAAAGGTCCCATTGGTGATGTAGAACAGCTCAAACGGTTCAACCTATTTACAGTAGCTTTGCAGGATGTTGTAGGTGCATACCGGTTGCGAATGGTTCCCACAGAGTCCCTGGCGATGTACTGGTACTTCCGCTGATGCTCTCGGATCACAAGGGGAAGCTTCTGCTCTGATAGTTTGCTGAAGCCCCGCTGCTCCATGAGTCTCTGAAGCTCATCCTGCGCAAAAGTATCTTCGCGAACAAAAAGGCTAAACAAGAGTTTAAAAGTAGTAGTTTCTTGTTACTAGTAGTAAGGCCAGGAGCTACTAGTAGCTTCTTGCTCCTAGTAGCGATGCCCTTTGTTACTCGTAGCTTCTTGTTCTATAGTATATAGTATGTTTGTAACAAGTTCAGTTCGGTTTTTTCCGGAACTTTCCGACCTTGGAATGAACCTCCTTGTTGTCTTTCAGGTAGCCCCCCCAGCCACTTCGACTTGGGCGTAAAGTCCTGCTCAGCTTGGGGTACCATCTGCCTAGACCTGCCTAGACCTCAATGTGACCGTCCTCCAACCATGAGAAGGGTGTGACGATCTCAGTTGCTTGGGCGCAAGTCACAAGAAGCTAGTAGAAACACGAAGCTTGTAATTAGAACTAACCATCCGACTCCGAGGTGCTTTTGAATCGTATTGTTTCTACTAGCTTCTTGTTGCTACTAGTAAGGCACCTGTTACTAGTAGCGATGCACTTGTTCCTAGTAGCGAATTAGAATGAGAAGGGTGTGCAAGTCTGTTCCCACGGCGTATATCGTTTCGAGCCCCCAACAACCACTGCACCACCAGGTCGGATTAGAGCATCTAGACCATCAAGGCCTCGCAACACACATCGCTTCTAGTAACAAGTGCCTTACTAGTAGTAACAATGTTTGCTATTAGAAACTAGAATTATATAATTTAGAATCTAAATAGAATTAAGTGTAATTAGCGTTATTGCTACTAGTAGCGATGCCGCAGCGATGCCCTTGTTACTAGTAGCTTCTTGTTACTAGTAGTAATGCCAGGAGCTGCCAGTAGCGTCCTTGCTCCTAGTAGCGATGGCCTCCAACCTACTAGCGCTGTCGGATGTCGGTCCAAGTTTCTTTCGAGAAGCATAATCTGCAAACACATCCGAGCACAGCACAGGCAACAGGCTCCGGCAGTCGGCACAAGAGGTTGGCCTCGGGCACGGAACCAAGCAGAGCGAAACAAAGTGAAACACAACCAGAGCGTGGTGTCAGCTAGGTAGGAGGCCATCGCTATTAGGTTGGAGGCCATCGCTAGTCAGCTATCTGAATAGCATTCCCAGGGCTATGCAAACACCTCTACGTGAAAAGGCAAAGTAGGCAAAGCTGCTTTCTGAGGAACAACCAAAACTGCACCATCGAAGGTACCAAGTTCATCTACTTGATCTTTAAGCCTGGCAAAGTGGACGGCGTCATATCGTATCCCAGCAGTGCTGAGCATTCTTCCTCATAGGTCTTGCATAGTGATTCTGCTTTGCTCCAACAGTTGTTACTTTATAGTTTATCAATTGAAACGGCGTGTCCTGCAAGCATCTCCTGTCTGGAAGGTGACCTGAACAGGTGGATCTTGCGGTCCAACCAACCACAATGAAACTTACAAAAATGGAAGGAAGGCAGGCAGCCAAACAGGAAGTAAAAAAGAAAAGAAACTCTTGGCACCAAGCACGTTGCCGGGCAGCAGCTGTCACATTTGCCTCGTGTTCAGCAGTGACTTCCGCCTCAATCGTGCACTTTGGCACGGTCTCAGAGCTTCGGGTTTGAAAGAGAACAAGTTGACACAAAACACGTTGAACTTGTTGACCGGAATATAAATGGAATTCCATTGGACTTCACTACCACTTTCACCAATAGAAAGAAGGCGTGTTGTCTGCTTTCAATTTATAGATCGTTTTTTAGACATTGAATTGAAACGTAACAAAGCAAACATGTTTGCTGCTTTCAACCTAGACCATGTCAGCAGTCGAACCCCTGTCTCTTCCGCAGTCTTCCACTGGACCCACACCAACCGTGATGCACGGTGGCCACGGCCATGACAACTGCTCCAGCCACGCCCATGCACCAAAATCTTGCTCACCTTTCTACTACAACATGCAAAAGTGTTCGCAAAAATACCTCTTATAAACTTATAAAAGTTTTAGCGCAGTGTCCGTCGAAAGAAAAGTGACGAGTTCCGAGCTTTGTGAACCGCAAGGATGATGATGTGAGGGCGTGATGACCGGCCGAGAAGCTACCGTGTGCGAAGTTCCAAGCGCGGGTCACTTGATTTTATGTCGGTGTTCCCGTCTTCCTTTCTCCATCCTCCTCCGCCCTTTGCTTCAGCTAATCGGGTCTGACTTCGATGTGGTGTACGCCCTGCACCTTTGCCCGAGCACATATCGGAGCAAGTGCGGAAACATGAGCCGCAAGACATGACAGAACAAATGTCGAACACACACCAGAGCCGAAGCCGGATCATGTGCCACAACACATTTCAGAACAAAGCACATGCCAGAAGGCATGTCAGAGCACAGATCGGACTTGACGGCAGGACAAACATCAGAACACATTCCAATGCTAGATGATGTGTCAGAACACATACCAGAACATTATGCCAGAACAAATGTCAGAACATTGTGAGTGTGTGAGTGCACATTACATCAGGCAGCGTTGTCAGGACAGTCCGTCAATACGATTCAATACGTGTGCCCCACATCGTCTCTTAGGTTGGGGATCACCTTCATTCCCGTTTTCTGCACTCGCTACTAGGAGCAAAGGGCATCGCTACTAGGAGCAAGGACGCTAGTAGGGACTCCTGTCCTCGCTACTAGGAACAAGAAGCTACTAGGAGCTGTTTCTGAACTCGTCCAAACCGACATCATCTTCGCCTCGCCTCGAGGTCTCCTTCTAAAGGGACCTTGAAGCGGATGACCTGAAGCCAAGAACCCCGAAGTGTCGATGAAAACGCCGAAAGAGCAGAAAAGCACTTGAAAAGCAAGTTGGACGGCAGGGACGAGTTCCAACAATTTCCAGCAATCTTAGGTTGGAAGCCATCTACAATTTGTTGGAGGCCATCGCAATCAGGTTGGAGGCCATCGCTATTCGATTGGCCTGCTTCAAAGCCAAGATCTCAACCTTTGCCAAACGCACTAGCTACTCGCACCACCTCGCCATTCTTCATCTTCTCGGCTGCATCGATGAAGGCTTGGCTGAAGTCGATGCCCACCACCTAGCACGGCACGCAGTGCACGCAGAAGTGCGGCGAGAAGATTTGGCGAGATTGCGGTTTCTACCAAAGTTGTTGCCTCGAAGCCTGCCGCAGCAAGCTCGAATGAAGAACCACCTGACCCCATCTCATGCAATCCAACTCAGCGCTACATGGGTAGTTAGTACAGGATGGTCTCAAGCTACTTAACCCCAAATGACATGTGTATGTCGTCCTTCATGTCTTCCCATTTCATTTTACTTTGATGGCCTGTCACATCCCGTGTCTGGCCTACAGCACAGCCAATGTCAAGAGCTCGTCCGCCTCGAAACAAGCTCATGGTGTCCAGGTCACAAGTAGCTCTGGTGTGCAAGAAGCTGTGAAGCGGTCTGCGTCTCTGGCTGGCAGGCATAGCCTGGCATATTCAAAATGTATGTGGCGCATGGCAAATTAGAGGATCTGAAGGAAAAAACCAATGCCGCCTCTATCAGCAATTTCGCCACTCTCTGTGGGAAGCGCAAGGCATGCGACGGAGCCTTTACTCTTCCAGTTTTGTTCTTTTTCGTTTGATGTATGGCAATCTGGGACCCCAACGTTTGGATGGCTAAGGATGGGATCAACCTCAAGACGGCTGTTGAAGGAAAAATAGAAGACAAAAGGCGGAAAAATTGAAAAGGAAGGAAAAGAAAGGAAGAAAGCTTCTAGGTTGGAGGCCATCACTATTAGGTTGGAGGCCATCGCTAGTAGGTTGGAGGCCATCGCTATTAGAAACAAAGAAAAAAGAAAACAAACAGGTGCTTTCGCGAAGCGCCTCATCAGCCCCGGAGCTTGGGAAGTGAAGTCCCAAGTATTGATCCACTAAACCTGTCAGCAGCTCCACTACGTTTTTTGGCGTCTCTGAACAATGTTTTCCGGTTTTGAGCAAGAATAGAAATTGTTTGCACCTATTGAACTCCCCCTTCGAACGAACCGAACTATATGTGATCTGCATTGGGTTCTCCCGCGACATGTGCAACTTCCTGGGCTCCAGGCGCTGCGTCTCGTAACCTGCATGACCAGCTACAGCTGCACCAGTGCCAGCAGCACTGCCACTTGGAGCTTGGCCCTGGTGGCGAAGCCCACTTCCGGCACGCAGAAACAATCAGAAACACTGTGTTTTTCTTTGTGTTTCAGTGAGACACCGAGACACCCTTCCAGGTGTGCTAGAATCTAGAATGAGACGTCGACCAGAGCGGTGGTATAGAATAGTAAAATAGTACTTAGGTTTCAATTGAACCCATGTTGAATGCTATGTTTGCTTCTCGAAATAGAAAGGAAAACACAAAAGAACCTTTTCCGGAAGAAGCTCCACGCCCAGGCTGCCTGCACTGCCTGCGCTGCCTGCACTGCCTCCTCCGGCTCATGCAAAAGCCGGGCGGGAGGTGGAGAGTTGGAAGAGACCTCGGATCTGAAATGTGTTGAGTTCTACCTGAGTCGACTCTGTCAGATTCGATGTTCGGTTCTACCGTTTGGATTATTGTTTGAAAGGGGTTGAGGAACCCGATACACCTGGGCCGACTGCTAATCTGAAACCTGAATGCGGCAGGAAGTGTGGCCGGAAGTGATACCGGCAAAAGCCGGAGGCACCGTTGTCAGACTTGCCTTGCATGCGCACAGTGGCACAGGAAGGAAATCTAAGTTGTAAAAGCTTCAACATAGGAACATGTTGCACAACGACTTGAAATCAAACGAAGGAGCTGATAAAGCTGCCGCCCATGATCATGTGATGCCGCCCATCGAAGCATGGGGTAGAGAAGTCATCGTAGGTCTCAAAGCAGTGAGAGGTGAATGGACTGACGTCAAAATGGGAGCACTTGTTGAATTGAATGCACTGAGCACCCCACATAATGAACTTCAAAGCCCTCAAGAGGGTTGAAATGATCTTCTGTCCACTCCCATGCATTGCCTGAGACATCTGTTTTGCGAAATTGAAATACCTTTGAAAAAAAAAAAAAACATACCAAACCAATAAATACAAACCAAGATGAGATGCCCATAGCATCATGGTGTCCAGTGGGAGATGCTGGCATCGCATCCACCGGGCTTTGAGATGCCTTATGTTCCGGCATCCAAAGGCAACCCGGTGCAACACGTGCGAAACAACCTTTCTGAAGAAATCCATTCTTGAAAAAGTCTTGTTTGAAAGGAAACTCGTGTTGGCCGTAGCAGTTCAATCATTTCATGTTTTTGCGCAAGCAAGCGGCAAAGGCCAAGTTGGCGTTGGTGCCAGCCACCTTCGGGAAGTCCATCCCGCCTGACATGGCCCGCTTGCAACCAGCCCTCCGCCGCAGACAGTCCTGCCTAGGCTAAGTGTGGGATCGTCTCTGGCCATCGCCATGTTCTCAGGGCGTGCCTGCGTCAGGACCATGCTGCAATTCACTTAGACTTTGGTTCTTGAAACACAAAAAAGAACATAGTCTGAGGGTCAAAAGCACAAGAGGAAACAGGGAAAAGAGAAAAGGAAGACTGTAGGGTTGAAAGGAAGAAAGAGAAAAAGAAAAACAATAAAGAGATAAGGGGGAAAGCTAAAAGAATGTGTATATGTCAATGTATATTATTCTAGGTTGGAGGCCATTGCTTAACTCATGAAGCTAAAGAAGCTTAACTTAACTATATAATGTTCCTATTCACTGTCGGCCTCGGGATGGCGGATGAGGTGATGCTCCGCCTCCGTGATGACACGATAGGCCTGCCAAGGAAGGGCTGGAAGGGCTTCAATGCCGTGTTTGTTTGAATTCGTTGGACTGCTCTCCAAAAAGAGAGAAAGAAACAGCAAAGACATATAGCTCCTAATAGCTTCTTGTTCGTAAGAAACCATGCAGAAATGATGGGATCAACAGAAGTGATCTTCCTTGCGCCCTTCCTTCTTTCCTTCCTTACTTACTTATATACCTACTTGCCGACCTCCCTACTTACCACTTCTTGACCTTCTTGTATTCTTCTCGAAATTACTTTCTGGTCTTGTCTTATCTTTTCTTTTTTGATGGCTCTTATTTGTGGTGACCACCTGACACTTTGGGGACTTAGGTCCAACACTCATATTCCAGGTCAAGCGGGACTTAGACTTTGGTTTGCTTGCATCCTGTCATCCTGTCTGCTTCACTACACCGCTTGAGCGAAATGCCATGCAGAAATGATTTGAAGAACGAATTCTCGCAGCTATTTTGCCTCTAGTGTTTTCCTTGGCTGCTGGTGATGACTTGTCTGTGGTTGACTTGTTTGATGTGCTTTGTGGTTAGGCCATGTCATCAAGTTGACAAATCTTGGCCTGGAAAAGAATTATCCTAAGATTTAGAGCTCTTGATAGGTGCAATACAGGTTCAACATGGTTCAACAGTGTATGAAGTTCTAGGACTCACAAGGTTACATTAATATCATCATCTTGGTGTCCAAAAGAATGGGATCGAAATGGATCGAATCTACAAAGATCGTGGGCAACATCGCCGGCGGCACCTCCTGATCCTTCAGGCCGTCCTGTTCAGACTTCCATGCGCAGTACGCCCGTGCCTCCAAGCGCAAACGCAGCGCAGCCCCGAGCCCCTAGTAGCTTCTTGTTCCTAGTAGCGATGCCAGGAGCCCTAGTAGCGTCCTTGTTACTACTAGTAAGGCACTTGTTAGTAGTA